ATTTTAGACGAGATGATTTGCTTACGCATCGCTTTTTAAATTACCATATTTTTCTTCTTTCTCGTGTATTGAGCTATTTATTAAATACTTTAATTATTAGTTTTATCATGTCCTTTTAGAAAAATTTGTTTTTTGTAAAAACTCATAAATTTTCCATCGTTTGTCGCAAGTAAATATTGCGTTAAGTATTTCTTTCTTGTTTTTGTCTTAAATTTATAAATAGTCTCAGTTTGAGTTATGTCTGTGAGATCTCGTGACGATCGTAAAATATACGTAAGTGTGGAATTTTTTTATTTTCGCTGCTACTTTCTCAAAAGAGACAACTTTAACAGATTCTGAACAACAAAATAAATAAACGCGAAAATAAAACTTTTTGTGTGATTTTTTTTCAATGACAAATTTCCTTTTGTTTAACCTCCTATTTGCGTTTTAATTCTCACATTGGTGCTTTAAACAATTAATTGGAAGTTTCACATTTGCACAACGCGATGTGCTTCAGGAAATTCTGAGAAAACTTTCATGTGCCAAGAGTTGAGATTTTTAAAAAGAGTTTTTGCATGAATCAGTCGATGATCATTTTATTTTTGACACTTTTGGAGTTTTAAGCATTAAATTTGTAATTCACAATGTGGAAATTTGAAGTATTAACTCTAATTTAATCAAAATCCTTGATACTCGAATAATCACAGACAAAAATGTAAAATTGTCGCATGAATAATCATCCCTGTGTATATAACATATGTTCTGAATTAATCATTTAGTCCACGTTGTTCAATTTCAATAAATTGAATTTTAAAATAAACTTTTCTCAAAATTTCCTGATTCCAACAGGTTTCAGTCTGCAACTGAAACTTGATGCGTATTTTAATCATTAAACGAAGATAACAATTAGTTGAGTAAACAGCCGTAACGTGTATAAATCTATTAAAATTAATATACAGCATCATATAAATTTAACTGCTCTTACGTCTTCCTATCATCCGATCTAATCAGCTTTAATTTCTTGTGTAATGATGATTTAAGAATAATCAAACAACAAGAGATGACGAAAAAAGAAGAAAAAATGAAACAAACACGCGATTCTTTTATAAAGTGATCTCTCGAAAATTGTTGGGTTCAAGTTAAAAATAGAATATTCGAATTATCATATAGACTGTACCCATAAATTTTCAAAGTCGTGCCTCTGGCGCTCACTGCTCATACACATACTTGCAAAAAACCGGTAGAAATGATGGTGCGAAAAATGAGAGAATGAAAAAATCGCGATGCATTAGCGGCTTTGTAAGAATCAATTTACTCAATAAGATATGCAAATTTCGACGTAGTCAAACATATATAACTGTGTTAATGACTCATCATCATCATTGCTAATAAATTACGATGTTAAGAGAAATAAATATCGAGAGACTATTTGAGGCGTACCGTGTTGACCTTGTTTATACAATTTACGTCGTGTTACAACATTTCATACCTTCCTGAGTTTAATAACCTGTGCTATTACCGATACAGTTACGATAAATAGAATTGCATCAGGAATAGTTCATCTTTCCTGAATTTTATTACATTTTTTTATGATTTCTCGTGATTACTTATGCGTGGGTCTGTGAAATGACAGCTAAATCATAAAACTCATGCAATAGCTCCCAATTCTATTCCCTGTTCCATTTATGATTTATCTCGTGCAACATACTTGTCTAAAAATAACAGGCAATAGGAATGAACGATGTTGCACAATTCCTGACTTTACAAATACAGACTAATGGAACATTAGATTTGACGAAGATGGGCGTACATGATGCAATTGTAACGGATTTTTTCTCCCATTTTTTTGCATCCGGTTTTTTTACATGATTTGTATTTATTTTGATGATGAACTGCGCATTAACTGCATTTTTTTTGCTTATTGCTTATTATGCATTGCGTTAACCGGTAATAATAATTTGTTGCTACATAGCTCATGCTTTCTAAAAGCATTTTTTGTTTAATTTCCAATTCTATGGTTGTATCCATTAACATGCATTTGACAATTCATATATCAAAATGATTTATTTGAGTCTGACTGGTTCTTCTTCATGTGGGAAATGACGCCATGCGAATTGGTTGACATAGAATACATTGAACGAGTTTTGAATTTAATTAACTTTATTGGCCTTCATGCTTAATGTTATGTTGGATTCAGAGTTGTGAGACAGGTCACCTGTCAACAGGCTCAGATAACAGATCTGTCACAGACACTGCCTGTCAATAAGCAGTCATTTTTCACAGATCTGTCAACAGGTTTGACAGGCAACAAGCAAGTGACAGATCGCAATTCTTGTTAGATTCGCAAGAACCTGGAAGTGAATTTTTAAAGATCATTGCTTGACAAATTGTAAATCGCAAGATTCCTAGTTTAAATTCGAAGAATCACAATCAACATAGCTCCAGGATTGACATTCTGTGGAATCTGATTAAGAACTTAAAGTCTATTGATTGCATTTGAATCCTTAATCTTTGACGTTTTCTTGTTGACTGCTTAATTATTCCTCCAAAGAATGTTAAGAACACCATAGAATTCAAACGGTATTAATTAAATAGCTTCTCTTAAAGCTAGCGACTTCAATTATTTTTTTTTATAGAATCACGTTCGATTTAAATCTTCTATGATAAGACGAACGACGACGTGGAAGCTGTTGAAGCTGAAAAGCTATTCACAGTTATAAGTAATTAACACATTTATTGAAATAATGCGTCAACGAGTTTTTAACGAAACTGGGAAAAATCATGAAAGCATTCATTTATTTATATAATTATAGAAATTCGACATGACAGGCTGTTACTTAGCAAACCATTGCTAATAATTCTTCATTTCAGTAGAAAACTTGATTTATAATGAGACGTGTTGAGGCGATACCCTTTTGATCCTATGAAAGGCAATAATTTTGAGCATTGATAGCCTGTGTCAATTCAGTTGTTTGTCTTATTTCAATTTATGTGAGAAAAAAATATATGAATAGCAATTTGAGGCTGTTTTGACTAACAGATTCGTAAGAATTGATGCTATCGCGTCTAATAAAAGTAAAAAAAAATCCCATGCAAAGAATTTTTTTAATTGAATTGTAAATAACATTAACGTCATTGTTTGTTCCTAACGAGAATCGTAATATTTATTAATTAAGCATATCAATTGGTGGAATCTAAAATAAAATTGTTTACTTAGCATTAAAGGCATTGAATAAGTTTCGTTTTCATTAATAAAATAGAAACAGTTTTATTGCTGTTTTTTGACCTTTACTTAAAATTCGACACCGAACCTAGCTTTATATTTTATTTGTCTGCTTCATTTTCTTCTTATTTCAACTTAAATGAATTCTTAATTGAAAATTATAGCTCTTAACCATGTTCAAGTAATAGGCAATATCACACATATTCTTATCTAGATATTCTCACTCGAAGAAGTAACAACTAGATTTCATTTCATAATCCAACAAAATGGATGAGAATTTGTGGAATTTTCCGCTACGAGCTGATGTTTAATTCACTTATTTGTTTATGTCAAATTCTTTTTTTGTTGATAATACATCAGGCACGTTTCTTATCGCATTTAATTTTAATATTAAAATCTTGCTATAAAGATTTTGACAAAATCTGACATGAAAACAACCTTAGTTACAAGCGGGGATGATTGTTTTATGTTCTTTCAATTAAACTAAGCTATAGATTTGATTGATGTTGACTTTTTGGTTTGATGATCTTGAGATTTTTTGAGATTTGGTTTTGTGACTTAAATTACAGTTTAACTAGTGAATCCCTAGTCTGCAGTTTCAAGTTATTATTATTATTATTATTATTATTGTTTATTATTCTCTTCTTAACTTTTGCAAAGGAAAAGCCATCCTCAACAGTGTTAACTGTTACTGCTGAGATCGGCATAAAAACCTTTGATCTTAATACTATATTAACAAAAGAGTAGACTGCAAAACTGCTTTTTTGATGTTTCTGGATATAAATTAAGTTCTATTCACATTCTTCACGACCATCTAGTCTGTCTAGAGTACTAAAGGAGGTGTCAGGGATCTTAAGAAGGTCTAATTGTCCAAAAGCAATCAAAATAAATTCTTAAGGGTATGAAATTATCAAAAATGATCAAAATGTAATTTATTAGTTCCGCACCCTTGTAAATTCCTAAAAATCAAAGCCTTAAAATTAAGGAAATCTGGTGATATTCAATACGCAAAAAACTCCGATTCTAATGAATCTTCTGATAATCATCGAAAGTATTAAATTTGTTTTTTTCTAGATTCCATTTAAAGAATCTATCAAATAATTTTACTTCCGATCTACTTTATTGAACTAAATATACAATAATATTCATTCACAAAACTCATTTCTAACTGATATAAAGTCATTTTTAAACTGATTGGAACTAAATAGATTAATAGCGTGCAATATTCATTAAGCGTGATGATAATAACGAAAGCAATTTGTCCAAAGTTTATTAGTTTACTTATTTATTGGCTTGTAGGAATATATATTTTTCATTATCTTCGTGACTTTTGTGTTGTGTACATAATAAATATTTCAAAAAAATAATCTTCTTATTTTTTGTTGATTCTCTTTTGACGTCGAGACGAGCCTCTTGCTCAGCGTTCCTTGAAACTCGTCAATGAATGATTGTGCTGAAAATTAATTCGAAATGACCTTGTAAAATATATTTTTTTCCCTCACTTTGTGTGCTCTTTTTGGTGATTCGAGGTCGAGAATTTTATGTTCTAGATTATTAAGCGTCAGAAATTAAGATTGTGAAGTTACGAAGCAATTTGATTGAAGATTCTTTTATTATTAAAAATTCATATTGCGTCTTGATATGAGATAAAGAATAAAAACAAATTAATTGATGACAATTAATGACCAGAAAAATGTAAAAAAATGTGTTTGTGCTGAATTCCATAGCGTCAATTAATTGATGATTCTTGATTCGCGATTACTGTATACAAATAATTAATTGAGGCCTCTTTTATTCAATATAGCAGGATGGCTAAGTTGCAGACAAGTACTGAATATCATGATGATCTTAGGATTTATGTTGAACTATGCTCTTCGTGTGAATCTTACTATTGCTATAGGTAGAGTCATTATTAATATTGACAACAATTCAGGGATTCATTTATATTTTTAATCTTCCAAAACACAGTTGAAATGATAAAACCAAATGTTACGACAGCAATTATGAACGGAAATGCATCGTATATAACAGAAACAACAATTCAACCAGAAGCTTCGACATTATTAACAACTACAAATGGAGAAACTGAAGATGACTATTCAGACAGATTTAATTGGGACGAGGCTCAAAAACAGCTGATTTTGGGATCATTCTTTTGGGGTTATGTACTGACTGAACTGCCTGGTGGTCGACTTGCTGAATTGGTTGGTGGTCATCGAGTTTTCGGACACAGTATGTTCTGGGCTAGTATAATTACATTAGCAACTCCAATTACTGCTCATATGGGATATCAAGCTATGGTTGTTTTGAGGGCTTTGCTAGGTTTCATGTTAGGAGGTAATTATCATTTAGACTTAATCAGAATAGAAAATAGAATTTAAATGAATTATTCCCATTGATTTTATTAACAATAGCTTCGTGGCCATCAATAGTTCCAATGGCATCAGTTTGGGTTAAACCAATGGACAGATCTAAGTTCATGTCAAATATGATGGCATCCGCTTTGGGTGCTGCTCTTACTATGCCAATTTGTGGATATTTCATTTCATGGTTCGGATGGGAAAGTGTCTTCTACTTAACAGGTAAGCTTGGTCTAAGTCGCATTATATTGGATCTTTAATCAATACATGACTGGTTAACTAGGTGGAATCGGAGTTTTCTGGTCAATCTGCTGGTTCTTATTGATCTTTGAGACCCCTGCCAGACATCCAAGAATCACACCAGAAGAACGCAAAGAAATCGAGGATGCAATTGGATCAACAACCTCAAAGACAAAGCCAACATATGTTCCATGGAAGGAAATTCTTACTGCTCCATGTGTCTGGGCAATTATTTTGGTTCATGGTGCTAGTGTTTTTGGATATTTCCTTGTTGTTAATCAATTGCCTGGATACATGAAATCAATTCTTCACTACGATATTAAAGCAAACGGTCTCCTTTCATCACTTCCATACTTTGGTAAATACGCAATGTCAGTTGTTGCATCCCATTTTGCTGATTACTTAAGAACTCGTGGAAAAATAACAACAACAGTGGCAAGAAAGTCATTTACAGCATTTGCCGTTGGAACTCCAAGTTTCTTCTTCTTCTTATTGATTTTCTTCGGACATAGTCGAGTATGGGCTATAACAATTTTCACTATCGCTCTTACACTTAATGGTGCTGTTACTGCTGGTTATCTTGGCAATGGATTAGATATTGCACCAAATTTCTCAGGAACAATTTTCGGAATGGCAAATACGCTTAGCAGCTTTGGTGGATTTGTTTCAGCATGGATGGTTGGAGTCTTAACTTATGAAAATGTAATTTTAATTATTTTAGGGTTTATAAATTGGATTTTCGATTAATTTTAATTTTTTCCATACAGAACACATACGGACAATGGCAAATAATCTTCGCTATCGTTTCTGTAACATACCTAGTCGGATGTTTGGCATTTGTAACATTGGGTAAAGGAGAATTACAGGTAAATATTTTAACAAAAGAAGTCAAATGACTTTGAATACATTATTTATTTATAATCTTAAAACAGCCCTGGAATAACCCACCAGAGAAAAATGGAGTTCCATTACAAGAATTACGATCAACAGAAGAAGGCGTTCCACTACAAACAAATAACACACAAAAATAAGTTTCTAAATCAAAAATTAAGGTTTTAGTTTAGTGACTAAGTTAAGTTTTAATTTTGAAGACGAATAAGTCATATCGATTAATATGGATTTACAACACACGTGTATCTGTATTTAATTAGTTGAAGTGATAAGTCAATGATAATTCTTTTTTGTTAAATAATTTTATGAAAAAACGGCAGTGCGAAAAATTATTTTCCATGCACCGAGTTTTTTTTTATTGATCTGTTAGCGTCTAATTACAATTGATTTAAATATTACTGAATATCTTCAAATTAAAGGACATAAAAAAAAAATTATTAGCCATATCGTTATGGAATGAGTTTGGTGGGAATAATTGGGCTTCCGAAAGTGTTAACAAATATATTATGATGACGATCCCCACATTTGGAGAGTTAAAAAACTTATTTTATGCTGTTCGGCTTTTATGTAAATCCGATGGAGCAAAAGTGGAATTGAATGACAATAAATATATATTTGGTCACTCATAACTTCCATTTTTACCTGCTCGGTTCAATGTTTCCTGTTAACTTATTAAATATTTGAGTTATGCTTTGTAAAAATAAATCAACAATTGAACCTCCTTAAAAAGAATTCCAAATTCACCGCAACATATGAACTCCATCAAATCATTTAACATTTGTGCTGCCTATACTCAGAAATCACAAGATATTTGCAGATCAAATTTGGCTGATTTCTGATGTAAAAATTTGCCAAAATTTCCGAAAATGAAGATTTCAGAATCTTTAATATTTAAAGGAATAATACATAAATATTTAAGTAAGGAAAATGAACTGAATAAGAGGACAATACTTTAAATAAAGAGTAAATTATACAAGTTTCGAATATGAAATGAAACATTAGACATTTTTTTTTCTTCAAAATTAATAATATAACACAAATAAAAATATATATTTAGAGAAATCGTTAAATAGACATAAAGTATATACACTACTTAGAATAAAATTGTCCATGCCATAGAGAAATATTAGATCACAAAAATATATTTCTTTGTATACAATAGTTTAATATTTTATAATCAAAATCATTTCTGAATAGGATGTTTTTAAGCTTTTAATTTGTAGCAAAACTAAGGACTTAGTCAAACGGTTGAGGAAGAAGATGTCGACTAAGGAACATAGTTAGTCAATTTACTGTTGCTTTAATTTGAATCTTTTGAATTAAGGGATTTCTGTGTTCAGAAATCAAAAATTTCTCGTTAAATTTTGAAAGTTGAATTTCTAAACGCACGCCATAAAAATATATTATTTGGAAAATTCACATTTTATCAATCATTTAACGGCCTAAACTGGCTCCAGAAAACCAAATCATAATGATTAAAGATTGATCAAGTTTTTAATTTTATTCTAGCCTTAGTTGCAATTAAGGCAATTTTAAACAAATTCAATGTTTATTTTTGGAAAATATTTGATAGTTTTAGTGTGGATTCAAATTTAACGACAAGATTTCTGTTCGCCACCCCTGGTTTTATACCATCCAAAGTAACAAATATCATGTAAATTGACCAAAAGAAAATGACATTCTATCCGATATTCAATGAAGGCATATCATACCAAATTTATGATTTTGATTATAAAGCTTTTAATTTCGAAATATTTTAAAATTTATTTTTTGAATTTCCATTTTTTCCTTCATTTTTACCAGAAACTGATTCAATTTAATCTCATTAAATGTCAATTGAAGATGTGTGCAAAACATAAAAGATATACACTGAATTATATTTATTAGCATAATTAATATTAAAGGAAATTTTTTAGCAAAAAGGAAGAGATAATTCTCAACAGCATTGAAGTTCTACAACCATTGAGTGGCTGTTTGATGACTTAATCCTTTCGTTGATCATTTACGAGTCTTCTAAAGTATTGCAAAAGGAAAAATAATGATCAAGTTCAGGAACGTTAAGGCAAAAAGTCATGATTTTTATGCTGTTAAGAATTTTCTTTATTGTTTTTATGATCTTAAGTTTGGAAGGATAATCCTCAATTATGTAACACATATGTTGATAACAGAATCACAGAGAGAAATAAAGCTTTATATTTTCAGTGAAAAAAAAAGTATAAAATTCTTTTGAATGAAACTACTTATTTGCACTTCCTTATCTTATTTTACTATCTTTGACATTTCAGGCACAAGAATCATAATTAATAAACTGTTTTGTTTCGTGACTACTGTCAGATTTTGTTTATTGTCTGACTTAATTTACTTTTAAATTCTCGTGCTCCATCCTTCAAAATGACAAGCTTAAAACTTTCAATTTTGTTCTATTCTAAGCTTTTTGAAGGATTTTTAGCTTTGTGATTTGTTATTCACGTGAATTAGAACTTGATTTCAATCTTATCGTTCCACTAAATCCAAATTTTTGTTCACCGATCGAGAATATTTTATTACTACTGATAATAGATTGATTGTGTTCAGTTCGAAAACAGTTGCTAAACTGGAAGCAAACAGTCTGCTGTAAAAATACCATTAATTTCATCATCTTTGTTTGTGACTGTGCCGGTGTAAAACTTTTTATTTCTAACACGGCAAACTGTTGTTACCTTCAGCTGAATGCTTATAAGGAGTCGTTCTTAAATTACGACTTTTTTGAACTGAATTTTAAAACTTAAGAAGATTGAACCAAATTCAAAATTAAACTTTTTCAAGAGAAAACTGACTAGCTTGAATAAAGATCTATGGTTAAACAAGAAAGGAAGTCTTGAGCCAAATGATTGACATGATTTGTGAACTAACCCCAAATAATATTCAATTTTTCAATTCTTATTTTTCTGTCTACTGAAATGTTTTCGAGTGATTACTTTTCAGACGATAGACGCATTCGTCAAGAAAATCATGTGACAATCATACGATAATGCATTAACGAAAAGGTTACTGAACTGAATAAATTGAATGCTGCGAATGCGATCTTTCTTAAATTTTTAAATGCTTTATGAATTTCAATATTTGCAGTGCGGATTTTTATTTATTTAAGGAATTTATTGTTTTTGGAGTTATTACTACCAGCTAATACCATAATCCACAAACAACTATTGTTTTTTTTTTATTTTCATTAATAAAAGTGAATCCTCTAAGATGCATGACGATACATTTTATATCTTTTGTAGCATTGCTTTAAATATAATCACTATTATATGATGACTATGACATACTTCTGTATCATAGGAAGAGCTATAGATGTATGATCATAGAAAATGTATCTTGTGTCTTAGCTAAGACACTTTTATAAATTTATTTCAACCGTTAAATTAACAAGATAAGATTTTAATGATTTGAAACAATTTTAACTCATTTAACTCTTTATTTCACATTTTTGTCACTTAAATTAGCAAGATTTTTAATCACATTTTATAAAGTCAGCAGTTCACAAAGGTTAATAATCAAATTTAATCATTTTTGAACCTGAAAAATTGTCAAATTTTTAAAAAAATCGACCAAAATTTTCAATTTTCTTTAGAATTTTCAATTCGTTGACTATTATTCAATGTTTTAACTAGTTGAACTAAAACTAATCAAAAATCAATTTAAAATTTAAGAAGACCTCAATAGCACCAATTTTCAATAAATCCTCCAACAAAAATGCGATTTTTGCGTAAAATTTCTACAAAAAAATCGTTCCAAAATTTCCAATAACTTAAAAAATCAACCCTTTTTTTATTATGCTAAACATCATTGGAAATAAAAAAGGGATAGAACAACGCAAAGGGTTAAAATTGTAATATCAGACTAGAAATTTCACCATTTCATAGTCGATTGTCAAAGAGTCAACACAGTTCGGCTCACAAAATGGATTTTAAATTTTTTTTCCGTCAACAGGAAAGAAAATATGCAAAATAGCATGTCTACATTCAACAATCAAATCAGTCTGTGATTGGACGTGATACAGAGCAAGTCATATAGCAACAGAAAAAATTATGGAGACACTTAATAGGATAAAATATTCGAATGCTTAGGTAAGACAAAAATAAATAAAATATTTTACTAAGGACAAAAAAAAATAAATCATTGAAGGAAGGGATTTAACATAAAAAAATCATATCAATTTGATATGGCACATTTTCTACCAAAAAAAAAAAGAAATTCATATCAACGCAAAAGCATAAAAATCATCGAGCTTGTATGACAAAAAAAAAGAAATAATAAAGAATAACGTCAGATGAAAAGGGCATTAAAGTTCAAGAGCCATAACTTCTTCGATTACATTTTCCATCACTTGTTTTTTTATCATTCATTCTCTCCCGTCTACTCAACATTTATGAATCGTATATATTTTGCTATGCAGCAGCAGCAGCATGATGAAATTGAAGAAAGAAGAAAACAAGAAAGGGAAAATGCGGATGGAAAAATAAGACATTCTTTTTTTTAAGTTTGTGTCCCTCGAAGGAATGCTGGAAGAGAAAAAAATAAGAATCATAAAAAATATCTTTTATTTTTATGATTATGTATCATTATTATTGTCACACATGAATATCGTATTAGAATATGAAATGAATTTCTCTTGTTTGCTTCTATCTCTCATCCTGCGACTTGATAGACATTTATGTCCGTATGTATATTTATTGAGGGTTGAAATATCCAGTAATAATTTTATATTCTTATGCAATTTCTTGATTGTGCAAGCTCATTTGTGATGAGGGGTTGATTTATTTTCTGGCGATTTACTTTTGACGTCCTGCAATTTTTTTAACTCACTCTGCAAGTGCTCAGTCTGTGTGTGTGTTTTTTTATCATTCGGATAAACTTTTTTTTTGTTGATGAACGCATGCCAGAGATTATTGGTAGATTATGTCACATTTTTTCACTTCTTAACTTGCATCTACGTTTATTTAAATGCCCTAAATTCCTTCCTCATTTTATATCCAAATGCTATCATAATGAGATGACATTTAAGACGGAAGTTAAATGGACATAAATTTTCCTCCTTCTCCACGCAATATTATGCTTGTGAAAACGCCATAGGACATGCATGCATTCGTGAGTGTGA